TTCAGACAAAGTTTCTGTAAGTATATTCCTGATATATAACACTATATAATACTTGGACTTTATCTGATAACAGTCCAAAAGTAAAAGAAAAAAAAAACAACACTTGGTTAAGGGTGTCAAAGTAAACAGAAGTTAGAGCCCTGCTGAGCCTAATCTTTTTCTATAATCCTGGGTAAATCTTTTGTAAGGGCTACGTCTGATAGTAGTCTGGACAGAGCTGATTAGTGCATGACCCATGACAATGGAGCTCGGATCAAATTTAGATTCATGCCCATCAAAGCAGAGGGCTGGACAGTGGACATCATTTAATGACAGTAAACTAAAAAAAAAAAATACCCATAAAATTAATCTGTCTGCGTTATTAGATTCTGTTCATAAAGGCACAGTTCAAAAAAATGTTATTTCACGTCTCACTCTCCGGAAATTGAAAGGTGAAAAAGCTGAAGACACTTCAAGACAGGATTTTTCTAAAAAGGTTCAGAGATAAAAGCTACACAAGATTACAAAAGCAGGAAAATCCCCCAACTGCATGAAAAGGTGATAGATAGCCAAATAATGCTAAAAGAAGCCAGAAAATCTGACACATAGCCTGGGCTGAGATGATAAATATTTAAAGCAAACACTGAGTTGTAAACACTGCCTTTTGTCCACTTTGATATTGAAATCTTTGGCAACAATAATCAACTGCTAAGACATTTCCTTCCCTGTTAATTTGTCCCCCGAGAGCACCTGATTCTTTTTTTTAAAAGTTTAATAAACTCCTTCTTTACACAAGTAATAAATAAATGTTAGTTGGCCAAACACAAGGCAATAAAGTGCCAAATCAAACACTTGGACAATATTCCATAGGGTTCCTTACTAGGTATTTTCATCGTGTTTTAAACAGTTTATGCAAAGAATTACGAATTTATACCAATATTATTATATGTGTTACGATATTTCAATAATGGTTAACTTTAAAGGTACAGAAAAAGGACTTGAGAATTTAAAGATTGATATCTTAAGACATCAATATAAATCATAAATTACATTTTCCCTTTTATATAATAAAAAAATATAGATACTGGATGCTGAGGATATTATAAGTGGAAAAATATATATTTGCTCGCAATAAATGAATTCCAAAAAAAAAAGAAAATATCATATATTAAAACATCATATTTACATGCTGAAGACATGTTAGGTTAACATGTACAAATTCAACTTTCCAAAACTGAAGGGAAAAAAGCAAAATCATATACCAACAAATACATGTACATGTCGTAATTATTTTGTTTGATGTTGAATGCAAGAAGACAACAAGGCAGCTACAATTTAGCAGGGTCATGCAACTCTGAAGTATTTAATACATGTACAATTGAATACAGAATTACATGCAAACAAAAATTATTTAATTCCTTTCTTTTTTTAATTTTCAAATTATTTTTATCACAAACCTGAATCAATTAAACTCCCTTTAATGCACATATCACAAACATCTGAGTCTACACCATCTTGAGAGCGATAATCGTAACATTAGTACCATTATACCAAATTTGTAAAAGTGCAAATAAAATATTATCATATGCCTTCAATCTGAGACTTCACTCTATGTGATCTCTCTATCATCTTTAAAAGGCATAAAATATTGTGTAATCAAAGTCCTTTTTTGCTTGGTAGAGAACGGGGCCTAAGTCTTGATCCTATAAGGCAGGATCAAAGAGTTGTATAAGAATGAATGGTAAAAGTGCTTCCTTAATCAGCCCATTCAACAACTGTGTACACAAGCAATACAGAGCTGTTTATTCTGCAGATTTAATAGCCAGACTTTTATAAATACCCAAAAAATCAGGCGACATTTTAATCAGTAATTAAAATCTAAAATACGCAAATCCAGTGCAAGTCATCTCACAGTACCGAAATCAGACCAAACTGTTCTGAATCAACAGAACATGAACCGCTGACAAAGACAGTGTCAATTCAGGCTAAAGGTTTAATTAAAGTCTGTTGACTTTCATTCTCAGCTTATATAAAGCCTTGAGAAGTTTTTATTTTTGATTAACATATTATGTTTTGCAAGGCTTTAATACATGTGCTTCTGTAAAATTAATTGGAGATATATTAGCAAATTGAGCCAAACAGTTCCTGCAACCAAATATCCCCTTAGCAATCACTGACGTTATTCATCAACAAAACTGCATCCCACTTTCTTTCATCAGAAAATGTAGTATTTATTTTCATAATACTGGTTCTGTAATGCTTCATTTTTCCTTGCTCTGCCAAATAATTGCAACATATAAAAAATTAATTTAAAGGTTTTATGAGTCAAACTTAAGCCACAAAAATCTTTCATATCTTTAATAGATATTCAGCTTTTACTTTTTTATGTACCCTTTACATATAAATATATATTTATAGAGAGAGAGAGAGCTTATATATAGCTACCCAGTAAGTAAGATCTATTTCTTACGTCGCCCTCATGGCGCATTGTTAAAGTGTCTGCTCTAGAGTCACGAAGTAAGGAGTTGATCCTTAGTCGCAGGTTCAACGTGGAGACCCGTCCTTTTCGGATAAGACCGTATAAACTGAGGTCCCATGTGGCAGTTGGTGCTGCCATGAAAAAGATCCCTCACTGCTCAATGACCCTGAGTGCAGACAAAATGTGTAGCTCTCCACAGGCAAGTGGTGGCATCTCCATATGAGAGTAATTTTCTTGAGAGGGACATTAAATAACATACATACAATCAATCAATCCTATTTCCTACCATAAATACAATTCCTTTATTCATAAATTAAAGGAATGTCTGCATGCTAGGAAAAATTACACTGTTATGAGTAATTATAAGTTATTATGATGTTTACATTAACATAATTTTTATTTCCATCTTATTAATCTTGCATGTATTTTGCATAAATTTTAGCACAAGATATCTCCTTGAATTTTTTTCTCTCATTTGAATACTGTATACCTTGTGTCATTTTTTCCCACATTCAACAACCCTATAATTTTTTTTGTTCACTAAAGGGGCATAACTTTGATGAGGACAAAGAAAAAGAGACCACCAGTGAACTATTACCTGGAAAATTGAAGAACCCTAGACCCCAGTAATCTCTTTCTGAATCCATTAAATCTTACAAATGCCTTATTCTAAAGTTAATCGGTGGTTGACTCCTCATCTACTGGGTTAGTGAGTCTGTGAAATGTCTGTAATGCAACACTGTGTCTAGGTACCACCAATGGACTTTTTTTGTGAAGGATTCCTATTATTTAATCAATGTCTGGTCATTCCCCCTCTATTTTTACAGTTTGTCAAGTTACTGGTTATTAATGTAAAGGCCCTTTTTTCATTTATTTTCTCCATAAGTGGCTAGATCAAATTCTTGTCGTTTTCTACATATATTTACATTTTTCAGACATTATGTGGTTTTGGTCATTACCCCTGGCTATAACAAGCCGTTGATAAAAAGGAATTTATTGCTGAAATTATTTTCTGCCAAGTATTTTATCTTTTATCACAAATTGCTTTATTTCCAGAGAAAAAAAGATAAGGTATATTACATGGAAAAATCACTTTCTCCCCCCAAAGCCAAGAATATGCCACTTGCAATAATCCCAAACATCTATAAAATACAGAACGTTGATTGCATTTTCTGGTAAAAATAAACCTTTCGATAAAAAAAAGAAAATTACAGCTCACCTTCGAAAGCGAAAAAGTTTTAGCACTTTGCATCCTTCCAAAAAACAACCTCATCTCAGCAATCTTCGAAAGTTATTACTGAATTTTTACCCAGCCTGCATTTGTAATTATAGCGGTAATTTGTTTCCATGACAAAACTGCAGCCAGTGCAGTGAAGGGAAAGCCTCAGAGATTATGATGTGAATCACAGATCTGTATCATAAAACAGATGGTAGATTGGTAGTGGTAGGTCTACTTGTACAAACAAACAAACAGGCCAACCCTGACCTGCAGAGCTAACCTTGTCATCACTCAGCAAGCTTAACCAACCAGCTGTTTAGTTAATGAACACAAGGGAGGCAGTTGACAATATGATATATAAACTGTATATAAATCAACTGTAACAAGGCTAAATCTCACTCTATGATTAACTTTACAACAAGGAATGTAGTTCTCATGATGTCAGACAAATATTAAAAAGGTTAGTGTTTCATGCTCAGTCTCTTGTTTAAAGGAAATGCATTCCATTTCTGAAACAGTCCAACATTAGACTTTACTACATTTGCAGTGGGATCAGGTGGGAGAAATTTGAAGTTGAATTTAGAAAAGATTTAAAATTGAAGTTGTCAACCCTTGTTAATCTAGACCCCTGTATTCATGAGCAAATTGTCTGGATTAATGAAGCACCCAAATTACTGAAACATACTTTTTATAATTTGTATATATGAATAAATTAGACTCCCCACAAAATTTATTGGAAGATGAATCATCTGGATTACTGGTTTCATGTTAACATTGCTTCACTGTATTTTACTAAGAATTTTTTCTTTTCTTTGTATGAGTACATGTAGTGTTAGAAGTAACTTTAAGTACTGTAGGAACACAAATTTTCATGGGCATTATATTTAGTTGATTTGTCATCTAAAAACATTTCGTCAATATAAAATTTCATTGTTTCGAAATTTAACCAATGAAAATATAGCCATAGAAAAATTTCCTGTGGGATTTATTTTCATTGATAATTGTTAAGAACGAAATGAACAAAATTTAATACCCCACGAATATTTCTGCTTCTACAGTATATTTGGTTGGGATGCCCCCAGTCTGACTAAAGCCAGCCCCTACTATTTCACTTAGTCAGACTAACGAAGTGAAATAGTAGGGTCTGGCTTTAGTCAGACCGGGATGCCCCTCACCATTTTAGCATATACAAAGAATTACTCCATAAAAGGTCCCTGTACATTTGCAACCCACCGTACCAATTCTTAAATTCAAAAGTAAACCGTTCCAGTTTCTCATCAACAAAGTTAATATTCAGTAAAAAAAAAATAGAGAGAGACCTACCTTGGAGTGAGAATTTCAACTTGTCACAAGAAGTCTAGTCTTTCATGTCAAACTCAGACCTGCCAACTCCCAAGTTAAACTCCTAAACAGAAAGAGCAGACATGAGAACGACCAAGAAAAGAGAAACATAATATCGCTTATGATAGAATCTTTTGAAAAACTCTAATCTGACACCCACATAATAAATGAAGGCAATATATTTAGGTATTGAAATATACATTTAGGCTGTGAAATGTATATGTAAATATCCAGTGACTGCTAAGTTGCCAAGAATGCATCCATTTATATAAAGGTCTATAGATCCATGATAAACTTTATATTGTATACAAAAACCTGCCGATGGTTTTTGAGAAAATAGGGCCTCCGAACCAGTGTACAGAAGTTTTAAGTTGAGAAGACATGTCACATTGTGATTTTGAAGTGATCACACATCTTTATCATTAGCGAATATCAACACCAAAATTAATACTTACCTGTGATTTTAAATTACAGGTGTCTGATGCCCAAATCCTGTCGCATTCTCATATAAGACATGTATCATAAATCTTACAACTAATTGGCCTATTAGAAAATTTACTATCAAGAGAAATATAATTAGGGCCTTTTAAATTCAAAATTTTTCAAATTAGGGGTTCCATCTTTGATAATAAGCATATACTTACAGCTCTATTTTTACAAAATAATACTTTTCTCTGTTCACTTCTTTGTTAAATCCAGTCAAGTGACAGTTATTTTCAAGCAGTCCACCCTCAAAAACTTGCACGTAAAGTGTCCATCTTTTAACAGATTTAGGTCCTAAGGGCCCGTGGCATGGTTGACCGAACTTGTACCTGGTCACGTCGTAGGACCTTTATCGTTGTTGGGTATACAGTGGCCTTCTGGCTGATTCTGTCACCTATCAATACACACAATGATCGGTCAAATTAGAAATCATTAATATATCCTTAAAACCTGTCAACAAAACAAGTGTCCTGGCCCACACCTAGGGATACTAGGAATGAGATTTAATCTTACCCCTGCCATATGTACAAGATTCAGAGACCAAAGTGAGCATAAAATTACGAAAAAATTGTCTTGCGATAGCTCAGATCAACCAAGGGTTGGCGTTCACGCTTGAGCAACGAGGATAAAGCAGATATCAAAGGCAGAAAACTGCATTTTAAACTCAAAAGTACACACCATCCATCTTCTGAAGAGCTATTTAATATTCAAATGAGGAAGTCCCAGACATTCAAATTAAGATTTCTCATTCACCCTTCTCTTTCCTCTGTAACCATTATGGCTCCCTTTAACAATGGCCTGTCTTGTCGTAAATACTACACTTTTTTTTTTACCCTTTTAGAAAAAGATAAATGCTTATAAAGATTTTTTTCTCTCTAAATTTTCTTCAAGTAAAAAAAGCAATATGATTTTCTATAAAAGTTATTTCTGAAGCCCATAAAACAAGGCTATCGATCAATCTTCCTCTATAGTAATATATGTGTCTTCTAGATTAGCATTTACTAGTAACACTTTCGTAATGGATGTCGGATGAAACTAAGTTATACTTTTTTTAATTAATGTTCATTATTTCAGCTTTCATTTTTTTCTACCTATCCATTATCTTTGATAATAAGAAATATAGCTACTCTGATGCTTGTAAATTAATTAACTAAAACCTAAGTTAATTTAGCTGTAAATTCAGAAATCCATTAGTGCCATTCATAATTTTTTTCAATTACAAATCCAAGAATCTCTAAATTTATTTGTTTTCAAGAGTCACTTACCAATTATAGAGTTTTTTTAAAGTTGTTGTCCCTTGATCAGTAGCAAGCTCGATCCTTCTAATAAACAGTTCATAAATCCTTTGTCATAAACTTTTTAATGAAATTTTTTCCCAAATCCTTGATCAAAGACACAGAAGTTTGCATGCTTACAAGGATAGATCAGTTATTTTGACACACCAGTCATCAGTTTGAGGTTTGCACACTCGGTGATGGCGCAATAAAAGACGGACAGATTGAGGTTCAAACTAATAAGTTTACCAGGCAAAAAATAAGGTTTACGAGTACGCAATAAATTTCAAAGACAAAGCATATATTTTACATGTATATTATTCATGTAAGCATATAAATATTATAATAATGACATTAAATAAAAGTTAAGAGGGGAAATTGGTACATACAATTTGTGTGAACATTAAAATTTATGGACTAAAACTGATTTGTGTGAAATCACAAAAATGTAAATCAAAATATACAAATGAAAATTTGCTGCAAAAGTGCATGGTTGGAGGTTTATGTCAAAGTAGTTTTTTTTTTCTTTATAAATTTCAAGTGCAAAGTTATTACTGTTACATTTTGAAATTTATACTATGTAATTTTATTTGATTATTATGTGTCGCATATGTAATGATCAAAGTAGCAAAACTTGATCAATTATGTAAGCATAAGAAAATGAATTACAGAGACTTAACATGCATTGTAAAGCAATTAAAAAAAATATTAACATACAAGAAATAAACATGATTGATCAAATTAGTCACTAAAATGACACTTACCAAATGGCGTAATCAAATAACTGCTTTTTCCAGATGACTTCATTTTGGCAAATTCAGTCAATTAAAACCTCCTAGTGCCATCTGTCAATATAACAGATAGCATGCAACACTTCTGTGAAATAAAATAACTTTTAAAAACTACACAACTGCCTAAACATTTGTGTGCAGTTTATTTATCAATTAACTGAAAAGAAGCATTATTTCTATACAGGCCACATGCACTTTGCTTGAATAGCCTATTTACTCTTTTTTTTCCTCTCTACAAAAACATCTCCCTTTTCTTAAAAAAAAATTCAAACAAAAGAGAATGTGCACAAAGGCTGACATTGTGTAATTAGTTTTCCTTCGTTTGATCTCATTTTGAACACACTGTGATTGACAAGATGATCTAGCTGATTTTCAAGCCGCACAGCTCCCTAGGACTGATTTCATGTCATGAAGTACAGACCGTAATTGTCACTATAATGGAAAACCAAAGTAATCTGGGGAAATCTTCGTAAATGATGTCAATGAGAGATTTTAATATGATGCCATTTTGATCTCTGACCTTAAAGTCCTTTTAACAATTTGTCAACCTACTGAGGTTTTTATGATTAAAAACATGACAAGAGAATATCTTTGTGAAGAATGGTAACTAGAGAGATGATTATAATGAAAAAGGCTAAATATACCATTTGTGTCATTAACCATGAACTTTTTCACTATGCTATCTCAACCCAGTTTTATCTGATAGAACTTAAGCTACATATTGTATCTGAATTTCATTCTCAGCTTTTCACTATTTTGTGTTAAAACATTAACTTAATTTATACAAAACTGTAGAAATGTGAAAGAAAGATCAAATCTCATCTGTAAGAAAAATAGTAAAATTAAAATAAGGAAAAGGGTATTTTAAAAACAAGAGGCCCAGGGGCCACAGCGCTCACCTGAGCACATCAGCTAGGAAAAAGCACATATCATGATTTGGACAAACTTGAATCTACAGTACTGTTACACTACCTGAGGATAATTCTACATAAATATTACTAATCATGGCTTTGAAGTACTTGAAAAGAAGATTTTAAAAGGTTTCCCTGTATATTCCTATGAGAATTAATTTTTGGTCGGCCATTTTGGCCCCACCCTACCCGGGGGTCATGATTTGAACAAACTTGAATCTACACTACCTGAGGATAATTTCACATGAGTTTCATTTTTCTTGTCTAAATGGTTCTTGAGAAGAAGATTTTTAAAGATTTTTCCTATATACTCCTAGGTAAAGCTTTGATCAGCCATTTTGGCCCCACGCTACCCCCGGGGGTCATGATTTGAACAAACTTGAATCTACACTATCTGAGGATGAATCCATATGAGTTTCATCTTTCCTGGCCCAGTGGTTCTTGAGAAGAAGATTCTTAAAGATTTTTCCTATATTTCCTATGTAAAACTTTGATCGGCCATTTTGGCCCCACCCTACCCCCGGGGGTCATGATTTGAACAAACTTGAATCTACACTACATGAGGATGATTCCACTTGAGTTTCATCTTTCCTGGCTCAGTGGTTCTTGAGAAGAAGATTTTTAAAGATTTTTCCTATATACTCCTAGGTAAAGCTTTGATCAGCCCATTTGGCCCCACCCTACCCCCGGGGGTCATGATTTGAACAAACTTGAATCTACACTATCTGAGGATGATTCCACATGAGTTTCATCTTTCCTGGCCCTGTGATTCTTGATAAGAAGATTTTTAAAGATTTTTCCTATATACTCCTATGTAAATCTTTGATCGGCCATTTTGGCCCCACCCTACCCCCGGGGGTCATGATTTGAACAAACTTGAATCTACACTATCTGAGGATGATTCCACATGAGTTTCATCTTTCCTGGCCCAGTGGTTCTTGAGAAGAAGATTTTAAAAGATTTTTCCTATATATTCCTATGTAAATCTTTGATCGGCCATTTTGGCCCCACCCTACCCCTGGGGGTCATGATTTGAACAAATTTGAATCTACACTATCTGAGGATGATTCCACATGAGTTTCATCTTTCCTGGCCCATTGGTTTTTGAGAAGAAGATTTCCAAAGATTTTTCCAATTTATATTTCCTATGTAAATCTTTGATCGGCCATTTTGGCCCCACCCTACCCCCGGGGGTCATGATATGAACAAATTTGAATCTACACTACCTGAGGATGATTCCACATGAGTTTCATCTTTCCTGGCCCAGTGGTTCTTGAGAAGAAGATCTTTTAAAAATGGCAATAATTTTTCTCAAATTCATAATTATCTCCCCTTGGAAAAGGGCGTGACCCTTCATTTGGACAAACTTGAATCCCCTTTACCCAAGGATACTTTGTAGCAAGTTTGGTTGAAATTGGCCCAGTGGTTCTTGAGAAGAAGATGAAAATGTGAAAAGTTTACCAAGACAACGACAACGACGACAGACAACAGACAAATTTTGATCAGAAAAGCTTACTTGAGCCTTCGGCTCAGGTCAGCTAAAAAAGCATTAAGTTGAGCTTATGCCTAGATTGATATCTACAATTTAAAAACCTTGGATAATATATGTATGTTAAATTTTAAGTTTGAAGTCACCTTATAATTTAACTTTAAAAAATTAAAACAAAGTTATTTCTGGTCCCCATTGCATTCAAGATAATAATCAAGATTTATTTTATTTTTGAAGAAGAGGATTATATTTTTTTAAATAAAAAAATCCTCCTTTATAACAATCTGAGAGAATAAGACATCCAGCCTTAGGCTGTTTCCTGCTTGTGTCATTGCCTGCAAACTCAGTCAACAAATTTATATTGTAAAAAAAAAATCCAACTAGAACTGTCCAAAAGGGACAAAATAACCCCCCCCCCCCTGCTGAGTTTTTCAGAGGTGCCAAATCATGAATATTTTATGGATCTAAGAGAAGAGAGAAATGCTAAAACATTTTTAGTGCAAATGTAATTGCTCATTATATTTTTATGAATAAAACGTAGGTGCAGCCTAATAATAAAATGAAAACTAAAGATACAGACCAGACAGAAATTGTTATGAACTTTTTCTGTCAGTGACCTTGAACTTGCATAAATGACTTTGGTTCAAAGTCATGACACAACCTCAGGTCATAAGCAATCTTTGTGTAAAATGGGAACTCACCACATTTATCCATAAGACAGATATGGGCCAGACAAAATTATGATTTTTTATGTCTGTGTCCTTGAACCTGCACAAATGACTTTGGGTCAAAGTCATGACACACCCTCAGGTCATAAGCAATCTTTGTGTAAATAAGGAATCCTCCAAGTTTATCCATAAGAAAGATATGGACCAGGCACAATTTATGAAAAAATTCCTTTCAGTGACCTTAAACTTGCACAAATGACCTTGGGTCAAGGTCATGAAACACCCTCAAGACATAAGCAATCTTTGTGTGTAAAACAGAAACTTACCGAAGTTTTTTCCATAAGAGAGTTAAGTACCAAACATGAATTATGAATTTTTTCTTTCAATGACCTTGAACTTGCACAGATGACCTTGGGTCAAGGTCATGACACACCCTTAGGTCATTGGGAATCTTTGTGTGAAATAGGAACTTACCAAGTTTATCCGTAAGCAAGATATGGACCATACATGAATTATGAAATTTTTCTTTTCAGTGACCTTGAACTTAAATGACCTTGGCTCAAGATCATAACACACATTCAGATCATAAGCCATCTTTGTGTGAAGTAGTAGATTCAAGTTTTTCCATAATAAAGATATGTACCAAACATGAATTATATAATATGTTTCTTTCAGTGACCTTGAACTTGCACAGATAACCTTGGGTCAAGGTCATGACACACCCTTAGGTCCTGAGCAATCTTTTGTGAAATAGGAACTTACCAAGTTTATCCATAAGAAAGATATGGACCAAACACAAATTATGAAATTTTTCTTCCAGTGACCTTGAACTTCCTCAAATGACCTTGGGTCAAGGTTTTGACACACCCTTAGGTCATGAGCAATCTTTGTTTGAAGTACGTTGTACATGTAATAGATTCTAATATTCCTCTGTAAGAAAGATATGGACCGGACACGTTTGCACAGCTAGACAGACGGACAAGTTGATTCCTATATACCCCCTAAACTTCGTTTACGGGGGTATAAAAAAGGATTTATATTTTATTAATCTTAATCTCGATTTTAGACTTACCTTCTATAGCAGAGGTCAATTCTCCTTAAATTCTAATATTGACTATACCGTTATCCTTGTCTTGGGGAAAAATAACAATTCCTATTAAAAAAATTTAAAAATCATTACACAACATGAGATGCCATGTACATTGACAATCACACCAGAAGACAAACATAAGTTGCTGTTTACTTTCATGTATCCTCATCCCAACTTTTATTGATGGTGTAAAGGTGTATAATAAAACAAGAGGCCTTAGGGCCTTACTGGTCACCTGTGGAAAATAAAACATGAAGGATCACAGAAGTATGAACTATATATACCAAGATCAACTGATGGATTATATTAAGCTATGTCATCCTAAAGCAATGGAATTAGGATAATTAGTGTAATGTAGTAAACTCTACAGTACATAATCCCACAGGCACCTAGAATTTGGAACCCAGTCACCTCTCTCTTCCAAATCACGCAATTGGTTTCTTTCAGTTTTGTGTTAAATGATGATAACCTACTCTATTAATAGCAGTTTTGTGGTAGTAAGATGGAGATTTAACAGGTAGTAGGACAAATAACCTGATCTTGACGTGGCTTTGTTACGTGTCAACGTCATAATCATGTTGATTGAAAACCATTCAGGGCCCTCTCTGACAATGGTTAAGTCAATCTAAGGGGGAAAATTTACTAGGGACTGCACAGCATGCTGTTGTTGCCTTTGTCCTTTTTTAAACAATGTAAAAGCCAGACCCCATGGAACTTCTGTCAACCATTAAAAGATTGCAAGAAATGCATATCATCTACAAATACTGAAAATCAATGTGTATATCTCAAGTGGTACAAGAAGATTGTTGTCAAACTTGTCGTCATCAAGTTGCACATGTTTTTGACGTTTAAGCATTTTTCTGATGTGATGTCATACATTTCATGGTTG